GAGCTTCTGTATGGCTTCTGGTACTCCTTTGTGATCCAGCACCTTGATACCCTCAAGGGTTTGCTGAGACGCAGAATCGATGACAAAGTTGCACTTTTGGTCATCCAGCTTTCCTGTCACGTAGACACTATGTGTGCTTGCCATTTTACATTAACTGTTGGGACTTTCACAATGGGGGTTGGTGGGCATCCCTCAGCACCAACCACTACAGGTTTCCCGAAGCTGACTTATTGGTAGTATTCTTCTTACACTGGCTCCTCGTATGTCTTTGCTCTCCACAGTCCCAACAACATTTCTGGGTAGCAGCCTTTCCTGCTGTGGTATTTTCCCTGTGTTGAAGTTTCTGGCATTGATCTTTCTTGTGCCCAGGTTTGTTACAGTGCCAACAAAGTCCATCAAACCTCTCTGAAAGCTGACCTTTTCTGGCCTTAAATCCAGATGACTGTACCAACCTTGGTACATCTGTGCTGGACTTAACATATGATTCGAATTCAAGAGCTCTGGCCACTGCATCCTGCATAGTAGAGGAGTGTGCTTGCTTCACTTGTATCTTCAGTTGTGGACTGTCCAAGGCGTCTACAAACTGATCTCTTAGCAACAGCTTGAGGACATCGGGTGGTGCAGTTGGGTAGGACTTGTGTGCCATACTTTCCAAGTCCTGTGCCAGTTCTTGCAGGCTCTCCCCTTTAGCACGGACTCTAGTTCTAAATCTAGCCCTGTAGACTTCGGACTGATTTTGGGTTCCATACCTGAGTTCTAGAGCAACTACCAGTGCTCTATAGTTGTGACTGTCGTCTGCTGACAGCTGTCCAAGTATTTCCAGTGATGGTCCCTTCAGGCTCGTTGCCAGGTGCACTTCTTTCTGCTCCTCTGTCCATCCATTCATTTCTGCCAGTAGCTCAAATTGTGCTCTTCCCACGGTGCCTTCCCATCAAATTCCTGTGGCTTCCTTCACACTGGATCACCCCTATTGCTGACATTCATATCTGGGATGTGACTTCTAACAGGACTGAAGATGTCTGCATTAGGGTTTAGCTGTGGGGTCTGGAAGGGGCTTGCCGTTGTCTGGGCTGATTAAGTCAATGGTTAATGTATTCTCCTTGTGTAAAAGACAATAAATCATCCTTTAATGTATTTAATTCGCTTTGAAATTTCTTGTTTCTTTTCTTTTTTCCTCCAACCATTGCTGTAATCTCTCTTCTTGTTTTTTTCCCCTCTAACAGCTGCTGTAATCTCTCTTCTTGTTTCTTTTCTCGTTCTTCTTGTTTCTTTTCTTGTTTATTTTGCTGTTCGAGCTGCCACTGTTGCAGGTTTTCTTGCAACTGCTGTTGTCTCTCTTCTTGTTCTTGTATTGCTGCCATCAAATCTGCTAAGCTGTAGTTTGATTTGCCACTTCTCATTTCCATTTTCTTCTTCTTTTTTTTTTGTCCCACTCTCTGACACCAATTTGTTACGTCTCTGGTCGTTAGTTAATTTTCCGTAAAATTCTTTCCGAAAAAACTTTAGCGATACAAGTCCTTTCTTAAATAAAACTGGTTTATTCTTTCTGAATACAACTTTACAATACACTTGATTTCCACAGTCACGCTATAACAAACGCTATAATTCACAACGAACGACTCACGTGCTCGCTCGACTCAATTGTCAATCTGTATCTCTGTTTGCAGTTCAATTACATTGTTGCCGTCACTTCTTACCGGTCTTATATATACAAAAAGCGTACATCTCGTTCCTTCGTGAATCTTCTAGAATATCATGACGTGTTACCAGCATCACGTGACTACCACTGACGTAACAATACTGTTACTTCCTGTATTGCGTTTTATTATTAAGTATCAAGTCTGATCTTTATGGGATTGTACACATATTAAATTGTTTTTATTAACAAATGGACTTTGATATTTGTGCATACATTTAATGCAGTAGGCTTCATTTTATTGTTGTATAAGAACCCTAAAATCAACTTAATCATGCTATTGATTAATTGATTACTTTGCATGACAATAATTGATGCTCATAGGTAATTAATTATTTTGGTTAATCAAGTCAATCATCCAGTTCTAATTGGGACTGTGCATGTATGGCAATATATATGAATATCATTAAATGCTCGATTAATAAAACTAATTTTTACAGCAGAACTTTTCTATAATGCATAATATTGGTTTTTGATTATTGAGGTTTATTCTTGCATTATGGCTTAGTCTGAGTTATTTTTACAGAAAATTCACATGTGGAGACATTTCTACATGAGCATGGAAGTCCAGGAGTCCAACATATTGGATTGACCACATCTAACATGCTAGAAACTGTGGCTTATATGGCAAATAAAGGTGTAATGTTTAGAAAACCACCAGGAGCTTACTACAGACAGGCGAGTCACTAGACCTATTTGAATATTTTGGGTCCAATAATGTATAAGTTAACTGATTGAAAAAGTTGCATAAAGTTATATAAAACATTACTAAATGAAAAATCATTGTTAGAAATATCTTTAAATAACAGCTTGGACTTCAGAAATTCTTCTATGTTGAATTTCTCTTCATTAGTCTATTATTAATTTCAAATCAAAGATGTTGGAAAATAGCATCAAAGACATAGTTTTGTCTCCCACAAGCCAATGCCCAGGAGGCCCTTCATTATATTTCAGAGTTCATCAATTGAATATGATAATGTGAGATAAAAGGTTATTTGAAATTCCATTCATATAATAGAGTACAATAATTATAAAGTTTTGTTTGAATGCTTAAAGCCCAACCCCCATTTACATACTTTTAATAGTAAAATGCAAACCTGAATTTTCCAATGAAATGGGCTGCTATTCACATGCTTCTAATGACAGAGCAACTTGTTTCAGTCTTTGTACAAAAGTAACAGTTCTTTTCTAATGCAATACATCATTGAGCAAAGTATTTCTATAGTACTTCCTTATTAATGTATCCACTATAGATTGGTCTTTCAAGTTAACAAATGATAAGCTGACTAATAGTTTATGTTAGTAACTGACCGATCCTACAAAAAACTGAATGTTCATAAGCAAATTAACCTCTGGTGTAAAATATGCCATCAAAATGTACATTACCACATCAAACAATTTTTCCTGTCCAATTTTTCCTCTTAAGAGAAGTGCTAAGTAAAGATCTTGTACATTCTTTCCTGAACAATTTAATAGAGAAATATTTCTTTTGATTAGATTTCATCTTCTTCCTTTCCACAAAAAGTTGCCTCTAACAGTTCCACCTATATCCTAAACTACTCTCATCACCTTCACAGGCAAAATTTGGAACCCCACCCAAATCTGAAGAACCAGTATATGTCATATAATAGTTTGGAACCCCACCCAAATCTGAAGAACCAGTATATGTCATATAATAGTTTGGAACCCCACCCAAATCTGAAGAACCAGTATATGTCATATAATAGTTTGGAACCCCACCCAAATCTGAAGAACCAGTATATGTTATATAATAGTTTGGAACCTACCCAAATCTGAAAAATCAATATATGTCATATAATAGTTTGGAACTCCACCCAAATCTGAAGAATCAATATATGTCATATAATAGTTTGGAACTCCACCCAAATCTGAAGAATCAATATATGTCATATAATAATTTGGAACCCCACCCAAATCTGAAGAACCAGTATATGTCATATAATAGTTTGGAACCTACCCAAATCTGAAAAATCAATATATGTCATATAATAGTTTGGAACCCCACCCAAATCTGAAGAACCTATATGTGTCATATAATATTTTTCTTCATCTTCATCACTAATTATAATGTTGTTTTAAAATTCTGATATCACTAGATTTAACCATAAAATTATATCTAGAACAAGAAAAATGTAGGTTCCCATTTTTGGTTCACATATAGTAGAGAGGATATAAGTTTTGAACTGTTGTTCATGTATTTGCAAAATATACTACGTATACAGACTGTGTGTGTATGTCTTGGTGTTGTTACGACAATGCAGGTCATGTGACGCTCGTATCACGCCACTTCCTTCTCGAACCTTCATGAACTGTCGGGAGACTACTAGATTGGGGTAGTCTTGTATATATATATATAAGACTGGCCAAGAAGCAACGTGAGGTAATGTGTAATTGAACTGAGTATTGTTGAGTC